GAAGTACTACTCGGCCATAAAGAATGAGAAATTAAAGACATTTATAGCTAAATGGATGCACATGGAGGACATACGCTTAAGTGAAATAAATAGGATGCACATGTGTAAATACTAAATAGTTTCTCTCATGTGAGAAACTGAAAATGTTAATAAGGACTAAAAGGTAAAATAGATACTGTGAAATAGGAAGAAAAAGTGCAAAGGGGAAGGGGAATTGGGAGGAGTAGGTGAAGAGGAATAGTGATGCTCAACAACAAGGCCACACACCCCAGAGGTCTGACAGGAGACTGTTCAGGAGACTTTATTCAGGAGAGCAGATCAGAGAGATAGGGAGAGAGAACACAGAAAGGAAGGTCCTTTTATTGTTTTTGAGCTGGGTTATTGTTTATTTATGAGGAGTGGGCTACTTTTAACCTATCACAGGCCAGGTTGCCTTTTATGGGCTCAGTCCTGCAGAAATTTAGGTTTAACTTCTCTGGACCATTGTGGCCTTGGGGGGAGGGAAACTAAAGATAAGAGCATGAGGTCATTCTAAGAGGCATGAAGAACCAGGAAAATGGTGGCGTCAGGTTCCTAACAGTAGGAGAAAGGAAAGAGGGGAATGGAATTAATATGAGAAAATGGAAACAAAGTCTTTGTAAATAGGGAAGAGCAAGGGCTGGGGATTCAGTGCAGTGGTTCTGCTACCTGCCTCACAAGCACAAAGACCCGAGTTTGATCCCTGGTACCAAAACAAACAAAAAGGGAGGAGCAGAGGGGTTGAAGGGAGGGCAGAGGAATGGGGGAAAAATAAAAACCAAGATAGATTAGGTAAAGGTGCAAATTCCCAATTATGAATGTCATTATAATGTATAATTAAAATGTATCAATAAAATTAATAGCATAAAAACATCAACAGCTTTCCTGTATACCAACAGCAGAGAGAAGTTAGGGAAAAAAATACCTTTCACAATAGCATCAAGAAAAATACTTAGGAATTACAGTAGACCTTTGACTTACAAATTCAATTTGTTTGCAAGGGCTGGTTGTAACTTGAGTTGGTCAACTAAAGGCTCAGGCTCAAGGTCTTTCTCCTATATACAGGCAGACCTCAGTGTCCTTAGAGAGACACTGGCCCAGGATTTCTCAATTAACCCCATACAGGAAAGGATGTTGTAACGCTCCTTCCAGAACTCTATAAGGGTTAAATCTGTATCTGAGACAATCTGGAAGCACAAGTGGCTTGCAATCAGGTTGTAACTCAAGACTTTGTAAATTAAAACTAAAATTCCAGTTGTTCTTGTGGCCCAAGTTGTTCATACATTAGGCCAGTCATAATTTGAGGGCAAATAGTAATTTAACCAAGGAAGTAACAGACCTCTACAATGAAAACTATAGTATGCTGAAAAAAGAGAATGAAGATATTAGATATCTTCTGTTCCTGGACAGACAGAACCAAGTCAAAATGGCCATACTTTCAAAACTGTTATATAGATTTAATGCAATCCCAATCAAAATACCAATAGCATTCCTCACAGAACTAGAGAAAACAATCCTAAATTCATGTGGAACCAGAAAAGACCATGAATAGCAAAAGCAATTTTGTGCAATGAATGCAAGGCACCATATTCTGGACTTCAAATTACACTACAAAGCTACAGTGATAAAATCAGACTTGTGGATCAATGGAACAGAATAGAGAATGCAGAAACAACTCCAGGTATCTTCAGCTATCTCACCTTTGACAAAGTGGCTAAGTCCTTTTGCTGTAAGAAAGATAGCCTCTTTAACAAATGGTGCTGGGAAAACTGGCTAACTACATGCTGAAATTAAACCTAAACCCATATCTCTCACCATGCACTAAACTAAAATCAAAATGGATCAAAGATCTAAATATTTAAAAAGAAACAATCTGCTAGAAAACAAAATAGGTAAAACATTAAAGTCACAGGCATAGGCCAAGACTTTCTGAACAAAACCCTGTTTGCATTAAAGGATAACAAATGGGATCACATTGAATTAAAAAGCTTCCAGGATGGGGATTTAGCTCTGTGGCACCGTGCCTGCCTCACAAGTTGCAAGGTTCTGAGTTTGCTACCTGGTATGGGAAATAAGAAAGGAGACCAAAACCAGCCAGTGCCTGTCCTCTCCATAGCCAGTGTCTCCAACCAATTTCCTACTCCATGATGGGACTTGGGGCTGTGAGTGTTTGAGTACAGACAGAGCAGCAACCCAAGAGGACATCCTCCTATACCAGATCACTTGCTGCCTGAGCCTCACTAGAGCCCGAGTCTGCTCAGGCCTCTATAACAAAATACCTCTGATCTGGCAGCCTGAACACAGACATTTACTTTCCATAGTTTGGGAGGTAGAAGTCCAAGATCATAATGAGGTTCTGCTGAGGATGTGCTCCCTAGTTTGCAGAACAGAACTTCACTCTATTTCTTTTCCTTCCACTTTGTCTCTCATCTTCTTATCAGCCCACTAATGGAGCAGGGTATGGTGGTGCACTCACCTGTAACACCAGCACTCTGGGAGGCAGAGGCATGAGGATCAAATTTGAGCCTACCCTGGGCAATTTAGTGATTTAGTAAGCTATTGTCTCAAAATATAAAGAAAGCGGGGGCTGTGAATGTATGAATGTCCTGGGTTCAATCGCCAGTACAGGAAAAACAAACAAACAAACCAAACAAAAACAAAAACACAGGCGCTAAACTTCTCACAGACACCACCAGCACAACAACATGTGAACCTACTCCCCACCCCAAAGATACCACCTGGTTCAATTGCTTTGGGAACTGGGGCTTCAATGTAAGAACTTGAAGTGGGAGGAAGAAAGCATTCAGTCCATATCAGGCACCCACAAGGCAGCAGCCCCAGGGCAAAGTGGAGTCAAATATGAACCTTCTGTGATCTTCAGCCAAAGGTGCAAAGGGGAGGAAACAGGGAATGAACAGGAGAGATGGAGAATTCCACTGGTGGGGTGGTTTGTAAGCCCCAGAACAGTTCCCATGGGCTCTGTGGGCTCCCCAGACTGCACTGGGAAATGAAGGGTACTCAGCTGGAGCCCATTAGAGAGGCTTGTTTTCCATCCCAGTTGGTTGCCCTGGGCTGGGAAAGAGCACAGCACCACCTCAGTGTTGAGTCACCAGGCTCAGTAACCAGGAAAGTTACATAACCATATTCCTTGCGGCTGTGAATCAGGCTCAGGCTGGCAGGCAGGAAGGGAAGAAGTCAGGAAGGTGAGGCTGGGGACAACAGGAGGGGATGGTCCCAGGGGCCCAGAGGCAGTCTATTCCTGCTAGGAAATCACCGTGGACCTGGAAGACTGAGAGGGCTTGACCTAGCAGAACACCTAAGGATTAAAGAGAGCAACCACATAGAACTGCAGCTTTCAAGCCAAGGTGTACAGCACAATTCTCCTGTACCACATCCTCTAAGGTGTGGGAAATGTTAAACCAGCTCAGAAAGAATGCAGGTGAGTGAGTGAGGGGCCTACTAGAAATATGAACTCCCAGACCCAGATCACTCTTTGGGGTATTTTACTAGTACAGGAGACAGCACTGCGCTGACAACACAGCCAGGATATCTGTTGGGTAGAGTTGGTGAGCTACGAAAACGTGAGCAGTAGCTGTTTGAACTTCTCTGTGAAGCTCCTCACAGTTGTGACCCTTTACAGGTGAAAATGAGAGCAGCTGCAGTCAGAGACTGTCCTGGGATCTACTGGGAAGGATGTAAGAACCTTTCTCCTCCTTCAACAGGTTCTGAGAAAGTCTCCTACTCCACCCCACCCCACCCCAGTAAGGTGTAAGCCCAAGGAGAGCTGTTTATGAGTAAAATGATTCCTTTCCCACTAAAAAGGTTGCTTTAATTTTTTTAGTTCTGTTTTTTTTTCCATGTGCATTTATTTTCTTGGTTATTGGTAGTTAGGTAAAAGAACCAAAAAACTAGGACCATGCCAGGAGTACAGCAAGCCTTTATTATGGGGAGAATCTGCTGGGCTGTCTCCTAACAAAGGAGAAGCAGCATGGTGGAACAGGGAGCTTTTTAGAGGAGCAGGGTGGGGTTTGCCTGAGCTGGGGTGGAGGTGAGTGAGATAGCATTAAGGGATTGGAGAAGCCTGTGACATCACTAGAGGGGGCTTGTGACATCACTCGTTACTCAGAGGTAGCAAGTACCAGGTTACTCTTTTAGAAGAGGGGAGGCATGATGGGAGGAAGAAGGCTGTCCCTTGGTAGGAGACGCCATATTTAACATGGAGGCTGCTATTACACGTGGCAGCCATCTTTTCTTTTTTCTTTTCTCTCTCTCCTTTTCTTTCTTTTTTTTTTTTTTTTTTTTTTTTTTTTTGGTATGGGGAATCAAACTGGGGACCTTGTTGTTTGTTTGGTTGGTTGGTTTTTTGAGACAGGGTCTCAGTATGTAGTTGTGTAAGACCTAAAGTCTCACTTCCTCTCCACAGAGCGTGAACAGCTAAAAGGCCTCCACGATGCTGAGTCCTATCGCCCAATGAGGGCTCCAGATGCAAGACCCAGGGCCTTACTTCTGGGTGCCATGAACAGCCAAAAGGGTCTCCATGATGCTGGAACCTATAGCTCAGTGATGGCTCCAGGAGCTTGATGAGCAGTGAGAATCACCCAAGAAGGAAGACACCGGACTAGTTGGAAAACAGACCTTTATTAGTCTGGCCAGATGGCACTCCCAGAGCCTAGTAGCTCTGAGAGGTCCCAGCTCAGGGGCTGAGGTCCTTTTTGTAAGGGGACAGGCAGGGTGGGGGTCTGTAACAGATGCTTACAGAATGTCCAAGGTTTTCAAAATATTTCTTCTGGCAGACAGAGAGTAAAACAATCTTATCTATTTACCCAGAACTACTAAACTTTAATTTACATTAATCACAGTTGAGACTAGGAATTTAAGATTACAAAGTTATGCAGTCCCGTAGTTGAGGCTGACCTGGAACTCACTATGTAGCCCAGGCTGATCTCAAACTCACAGTGATCCTCCTGCCTCAACCTCCTGAGTGCTGGAACTACAGGCATGCACCACCACACCCAGGTAAACTTGGGACCTTGTGTTTGTGAGGTGTGGCAGCCATTTTAAGGCACATTATGGGAAGGAGGCTACTGTTTTATATAGCAGCCATCTTGAGGCAAGGAAATCTAACAGGTACAAGTGCAAAGAATGCACACTGTACTGCTTCAGCCCTGTATGGAACAGGAAAAGAATGACCTGAGAGAGAGACCTGAATCCAAATCTCAGTCCTCCTTAGTTCATCCACCTCAACTTGCTGCTCTGACCTTCAGTTACCTCCTCTGTAAAATGAAGCCTCACAAGGTCTTTATGAAAGCTAAAGGAAATCAAAAGCCATAGACAAATATTTGCAGTTTATTAGATTTTTTATTTTTTAATTTTGTTACTTATATAGTGATGGAACCTAGGGGCATTCCAACACTAATGTACATCCTCAGCACCTTTTTATCTTTTTTTTTTTTTTAT